GTCTATGTTGAGTTTGCGTGTTCTCCCCATGTCTGTATGGTTTTCCTCCCACAGTCCAAAGATGTGCAGGTTAGATGGACTGGCAGTACTAAATTGCCCATAGTGTCAAGGGATGTGCAGAGTAGGTGGATTAGCTATGGGAAATGTACTGTTGGGGTGAATAACGTGGGGGTGCTTGATGCTCTTTGCAGGGTTGGCGTGGACTTGATGGGCCAAATGGCCAGCTTCCATACTGTGATTTCATAAGTCCACACCGACCTTCTGAACAGCATCCCATCCAGACATGTTCCCTTACCCTATCCCTGTAATCCTGCATTTCCCATTGTTAGTCCACCTAGATACTATGGGCAATTTAGCATGGCCAATCCACCTAAACTGCACATCTTTGGACTTGATGGGCTGAACGGCTTGTTTCCATACTGTAAGAGATTGTACGATCTATTCTATATGAGACTTGTAGTTGAGGTAAGTGTAGCGGGTTGAACACGTGTTGTGATTGCGAGAGATTGCTAATGGTTGAGCAATAAGGTGGATAGATTGATTGAGCAGGACATGACAGGTGAACTCACTGAGCTTCATTTGTGTGAGATTATAAAATCATAGAATCCCTAGAGTGTGGAAACAGGCCCTTTGGCCCAACAAGTCCACACATTTAACATTTTTCAGCAGCTTGGTACTCTGAGAAATACTCTAGAAAGTTAGTTTGCAAAGGATAGAAATTGAGCTAATCTTTAGTCAGACATTTACTTACAAGTGACAGCCACTGAAAGGGTCACTAACAAAAAAATATTAAATTTTCAAAGGAAACTTAAAGTTTTCATTAAACTTTGGTTCTGGTGGGAGATGATGCCCTCCATCCCCTGTGGTATCCACTGGTTTGGGAGGCCTCAAACATCACTGGACACCACATGCTCCCTCTTAAAGGATTTGCAGGCACTGACATAAATACAGAAGTGAGGCTGACAGTCAGGCCTAACAATTCCCTCCAAAGAAGTATCACTTTAAATGCTCAAGTGAACCTCATAATATTTCCATCTGCATAGAATTAAAATAATTGATATACAGTTAACATACAGAGTTTGACTCTTTGCACAGGCCTCTGTGTACATTAACTCTCATTTCATCATCATGTGAAGGTCTCCTGGTCTCTGTTGAATGATGACAGCTCTTCTAAAAGACTGAGATATTTACAACACAGGTGGTGACAATTTGGCTCATTGTGTCCCTGCTGGTCAATAAAGATCTGACTACACTAACCATGTTTTCCAGATTTGGCTGATAGTCCTGAAAGCTGTGGCAACACTTGAATATGTACATCACCGCAATCATGCATCATAATCCTCACAACAGAAATGATCCTTATCCAATTCTCTGCCTGGACGGTTGCAAAAAGGTCATAAAAATAATATCCTTTAAGGAAATCTCAACTCAGGTTCAAACACAAAGTGAGAGACAGACAAAAGCTAACAAAGCTGTCTGTATGAAAGGGCTTCCACCAACACTTACTGTTTAAAGCCAGATGCATCATTAAAACCCTCAGAAGCTGCACTGCATGTATGTTCTTGAAAAGCATATGACCCAGATACAAAGCTTGTGACATATGTAGCTTTACATACACTTACACAATCTTTGAAGTTCCAGTTTCAGAACAGTCATACAGTAGAAATTAAATAGATTTTTTTAAAAACTCCTGGGAACATAAAAGTCAGCAGAAACATTTCAGCAAATTTTGCATGCCCCCCTAATCAACTAGGGTTGAGTTGCTCTACTATCCCCCTCCAAACTTTCCCATTCTTTTCAGAAGAAACCTACCTCAGTAGAGGTGTACCTGGTGAATAACAAAAGCTGACTATTTTTGTTTCTGATTTTAATATTTAACATAACGAAGCTTGCAAGAAGTTAAATGGTTGCTAAGTTTTATGTTCCTCAAAATTAGTGCTGTTTTTCTTAGCACAGTATTAGTGCTGTGCTCCATAACATCACTGATGCATTCTTCAATATAACTTCTTCAGTACCAGTGCTGTGTTCCTTAGTATTAATGTTAGCAAAAACCAAAAACTTTGCAAAGTTGTGTCTGATCAGATAAAGATGATTGTTTCATCATACAAGTTAAATATTCTTACTAGTTAAACTTTTAAAATTGACTTATTTCTCATGTTAGTCCTGAGTTTCTATAATTTGACCTTGAGGTCAGGACGTGATAAACCTGTTCTACCATTCAAACTACTCTTTAGTTCTGGAGCATAGCTTAAATTGCCTACCTATGTTTTATTTTCATTGATACCTTTACCCAACAATTAAACCTGTTCAATTTCAGTTTTGAAAATGGCAATGGATTCAAAATGCAAGTCTTTTGGAGGAGTGAGTTTGAGATTTTCATTACGCTTTGAGTAAAAATTTCCAGAATTCACTCCTAATTTTAAGAACACGCCATTATGTTCTGAACTCCCCCAGTAAATTATCTATAACTATATTTTTTAATTCCTTTATTACTTTAATTGCCAATCAACCTTCTAAATTCAAGGGAATAAAAGTAAGCACATCTTTCTTTTAATTTAACCTTTATAATGACATCATTCTGATGAATGTCCAGGATATCCCTTTCAAATATAATACCATTCCTGAGGATTGGTACTCAAGTATGAATCGAATACCCTCAAAGGGATCTGACCATTGCTTTGTACAAATTAAGGCATCACTTCTGAATTCCAACTACCTAAAATAACATATTCTCCAATTATTTTTGTAGTGCATGTAGTACATGGACAATTTGTTCTAAACTTGAAGGGTCTTTTAATTTGTTAACATGGCTGTGCAGACGCAATTAATTAAAGAAACATGTGCAGGAATGTTTGGGTTGCTGCATTGCTCATGGGAAACATTGCCATGCAATGATATGCTTGAGGCAAAACATTCATTTATATTTTTCTAATTTCAACAGCAAATGTGCCAAATAAGAAACAGTAGAGAATCCAGTTCAATCGGTGGAACAATTTTCATTCCCACACTAAGTATTCTTGTGGCTGTCTTCAATGAAGCTGTACAAATGCAAGCATGGGCTAGTGGAAACCAGCCTTTTAAGCACCAGATAGGGACAATCAATTTTGAAGCCACAATCTAAAACTTTAATTTCTATAGAAAAAGGAAAATTTTTATCCTACCAGTTCAGAAGACTTTTAAACAAGTCCATTTGAAAGGGTAGTACAAGCAATCTTGAAAATGATGACAACTGATATAGCAAATGATACACAGGTGACTAATGTGATATTTACTTGTATACACAGCAAGACTGAATGCATACACCAGTCAATGGAAAATGTTATAACCAAAATATAAGCATTCCAACCCAAAGCAGCTCATACCAGATGTTTTTAAAAAAAGTGGAGTTGAGCTGCAATATTAACTAAGGCATATCTGATTATAGCATTCAGACCAGCTTTTTGAAATATACCTTTCATGAAATTTTCCTTTTAATAATCACTTCCCCTATCTTTGGACCATGGGCCAAATCAGCCTGAGAATGCTGGAACAGATCTTACTCCTAATGATTAGCTGACATCAGAAAATTACTAACAGCAACGATGCTCAACAATACCTCCAACTCCTACCTACAACACTCTAGGATGCACATGATGACCAGCAAGTCTGTCTTTATTAACATATTCTTTTTTAACAGCACTTTTTATACAGCTTATTCACTTAATTAAATAAGTTCCCAATCTATCGCAATCTTCATCACATATCACTGTATTAACAATTCTCTTTGGTTGACAATTGCCCGAGCAAAATTAAAATGAAAAATGCTGGAAGTACAAGAAGTGGGATTAACATTTCAAGTTAACAACCTTTCACAGAGTCATAAAGTTGTACAGCATGGAAACAGACCATTCGGTTCAACTCATCCATGCCAACCAGATAACCTAAATTAAACTAGTTCCATTTGCCAGCATTTGGCCCATATCCCTCTAAACTATTCATGTACCCATCCAGGTGCCTTTTAAATGACCTAATTGTTCCAGCCTCCGCCACTTCCTCCGGCATCTCATTCCATACACATTCCACCCTCTGAGTGTAAAAAGTTACTCCTTAGGTCCCTTTTAAATCTTTCCCCTCTCGCCTTAAACTTATGCCCTCCAGTTTTGGACTCCTCTACCCTGGATAAAAGATCTTGGGTATTCACCCTATCCATGCCCCTCATGATCAATCTCTCTAAGGTCCCCCCTCAGCCTTCGATACTCCAGAGAAAATAGCCCCGGCCTATTCAGTCTTTCCCTTGTCGCTCAAACCCTCCAACCCTGGCAACAGCCTTGTGAATATTTTCTGCACCTTCGTTGAATTTAAAAACGTGAAGAGCTGTCAGCGGCTTTGAAATAAAGTAGATTCAGTGAGAGGGAGCTGAATCAAGAGTCAAACGCGGGGAAACTGAAATTGTAGATGATAACGGTAGAAGACAAAAAGAGACGATAACGGGATGTAGATGTAACCAGTTCCGCTGAAGTTATCCAACTTTTGTTTTATTTTGAATTCATGGCACCATTCGGAACATGGGTACAGAAGTTGGCCATTCAGCCCTTTTGCCTGTTAAGCCATTCAATGAAATCACGCCAGTGCCATGCCCTAACTTTTGTATCACTCGGATGGCTGCACAGTGGGTTGGGGAAACAGGGTTTTCTGAAAAAGGGTGCCGACCCGAAACGTCAACTTTCCTGCTCTTCTGATGTTGCCCGGCCGGTTGTGTCCCTCCAGCTCTACACGGTGTTATCTCTGACTCCAGCATCCGCAGTTCTTGCTATCTCTGGGGAAACAAGGGTAGCCTTGTGAATGAGGATTGAGTCTCTAAAGGGCGAATGCTGGAGATCTCAAACAAACAGAAACAGTATTCTGTCATTGGACTAAAGACGATAAACTCTCTTGCTCTCCACACAGGTACCACTCACCTTTTCCAACATTCTCTCAGTTTGCGGTGAGCAGACACATTACGCAGTGAGACATCACTTCCGGCCAGCGCCGGATGCACGTGGGGAGTGACGTAGCAGGTGGGGCTTTGGCCTGGTAGTGTTGTCTGTGTGCACGGTTTGTAGTGTCCTGTCAATGAAGATGGTGATAGCGAACAGAAACGATGTGTCGGAGCGGGTGTCATCCGACGACTGTCTGTGAGTAATGTCTTGTGCTCGCTCTTTCTTTCGTCGAGCTTCCTGAGGTATCTGTGGCTTTGAGTTTTATCGATGAAGGGTGGATCACGGTTTGATTGACAGATCGCAGACCGATGGTAGGGTACTCTGGTTTCCCAGGTTACATTTACACCAATCAGAGTGAGGAGGGGGCGGCATTTGTTGGTGGGTGGATGGCCAGGTGGGGAATTGCATCAGAACATAGCGGAGCCCCCCATTATTATCGACAGTTTTGTGTTTGTTTCTTTCGATTCGGCACATCGGGAACGTATGTAGTGTCGAAAGGAGTTAAACCCTGCAAGTCACCCTTTGTTTTGTGGCTTCTCCGCACATTTATTTTTAACTGCAGCATCCAGGATCCCTGCGCTGAAGTGGCTGTCATCATGAGTCAAACCTGAATGGGTTTCCAAGCTTTTTTTCATTGCTATTGCTGCTCGATTTCGAGCCAAGAAATCTCTTGCGTGCTAGGCGAACGTGGTAACCATTGCACTACTGAAACTTTGTAGGTGTACTTTTTTTTTCAAATGATCAACCTGTTGAGAGAGTTTATTGCACACCTCTGGAACAGGTGGGACTTGAACCCAGGATTCCTGGCTCAAAAGTAGGAACATCACCACTGTGCCACAAGAGCCCTTTCAGTGTGCTGTTCTTCCTAAATGTTTTCGAATCCAGTTGCTCTGGGATTAGTAGAGCTGCTTATATGGGAATAACTCTCTGGAGATCATAGAATGTCATAGCACATCTGTTCAGCATTTACTTTACTGTTCATTGCATAACAGTTAAACAGGAATAAGATTCTTTTCTGAGTGTTTAAAATATGGATGGACCATTAGAAACACCACCTGTAAATCTGTATCTCATTCGATTAGGAATGTTTAGGCTGTTGTGCGAAGCACTGTTTCAGACACTTTTGATTTTAAAAGTTCTAAACTGTCAGCCTGAAAATTCAACGTACATAAGTCTTCTTAAAAAGGTCATAGAGCCATATACGCTGCTGTTTCACTTCCTTTATGATCTGCACTACTATTGCTTCTTGATCATGGAATCATTGATATTTTTAAGTAACCGGTTCAGAGATATTTTTACACACCTCTGAAGATCCAGCATAGGAGATGGCCATTCAAGTGCAAGGCCTTTGGTAGATTAATTGATTTGCTGACTGCATTATGCATTTGTCTTGTGAAAGTTACAAGTGAATCTGCTTCCAGTGCCCTTCCAAACAATGCATTTGTAAGAACAGGAAAAAAATCCTTTTGTTGCCCCTCATTCTTTTGCCAGTCACCTTGAATTTGTGTCATTTAGTTACCAACCCATCTGAATTTGTATCTAATTCTCATTTGCTTTCATATCCTTCATGATTTTGAACACCTCTAGCAGATCTCCTCCTCCTGCCTGTTCTACTGTAAGGGGACCAATAAAAGCTTCTCCAGTCTGGACACATAACTGAAATCACTCACTCAAAGTACTATTTGCATACACCTCTTCTGCACCCGTTCCAGGACTTGATAGCAATCCTCTCTAAAGTACAATGGCGAGAATTGAACAGCTGAGGCCAATTTTACCTATCTAATTTGCCAACTATCAGGAATGTTAGACCAGGACTGGAGATCTCTTGAGTCATTCAGTATGTCGGTTTCCTGGCAGCTGTCCTCTGTATTACAGTTTCATTAACTGCTTTTGATTAGTTACTTCCCTGTTATAAAATATACCGTGTTAAGGTTGTCATGTTGGTGTTAAATTTTGGTGGTCCACATTAAAAATTTGAAATTGATTTCTTCATCTAGCCATTTTGTCGATCTTAAATAGCCACTGTACATTTTTCGAGGTTTTCTTTTAAAGACAATAACATATTGTGGAAAACTATCAGAATAGATGGTGCTGCTGGTTGAAAAAATACTGTCTTTATTTTATATTTGTTGGTCTTGCACCTTCAAGTATGTTCCTTTTGAAGCACACTGGAACGAAGCAGAAAAATCTATGCTGTCATTTCAGTACAGTTGTTAATTAGTTTGTGTTTGCAAATTGGCTTCTGTGTCTGCACAGTGACTAGATTTCAGAAGTACTTCATTGGCTCTGAGTACTTTGTGACATCCTGAAATTGTGTGAAGCGTTGTACGAATGCAGGTTTTCCTTTCTTTCTGCATAACTGATGGTGCTCCTAATTACATCAGTGAAAAAGACCCATCTGGTCAGCATCTCACATGCCTCCCCCAGAGATTAGGAGAGGTGATACTGTAGTGCTGATCTAGTAATCCAGAGGCCTGGGTACTGCTCTGGGGACATGGATTGATACCCTGTCGCAGTAGATGGTAGAACTTAATTTTTTTAAAAATCTGGCATCATAAGTCCAATGACACCCATGAAACCATTGTCAGTTAACATAAAAACACATTTAGTTCATTACTGATCTGTGACTAAGGTCCATTTGGGAAGGAAATCTGCTGTCCTTGCCTTGTCTGGCCTACATTTAACTCCAGACACACCGCAATTTGGTTGATGCTTAACTGCACTCTAAACTGGCCTTGCAAGCCACTCAGTTGTGACAACTGCTAAACAGTTTCAAAAAAAGAACAAAACTGGATGGACCACTTGCCATCAACCTAGGCACCAGAAATAACAAAGGCAAACCTCAGTCTTCTCGACTCTGCAAAGTTACTAAGAACTGGGACCTAGTGCTAAAATCAGAAGAGTTGTCTCATAGACTAGTCGAGCATCAATCTGACGTAGTCAGACTCAAGGAACCAAACCAGGTAACGACACCAAAGGACAGGGTACGTCCTGCCCCAGGAGAAATGGCAGCAAGTGGTGTACAGTTGGGAGGGTGTGGCTTGGGAGTCTTCAACATTGACCTTTCCCCTCCCTGTTCCCCAAGCATCTAGCTGCTCCAGCATGTTTAACACAACTTAGAGGAAGCATTGAGAATGGCACAAGCACAGAATGTACTTTGGGTGAAGGAATTGAATATCCAATACCAAGAGTAACTTGGCAACATGACTAAAGTGTGGGTTTTAAGCTGACAAATGGTGAGGGCATTCAATTGAAGAAAATTTTTAAAAATCGGAAAGAAATGAGAGAGCAGAAGTATGGGGTAGTGAAGAAAGGAACTAATTATATGTAGAAGAGTGCAGCAGAAATTAGAACCAGAATAAATAATAATGATAAAAAGTCAAATATTTAGACTCTTTATCTGAATCTACGCAGCATTTGTAACAAGATAGATGAGTGATGGCACAAATAGAAATAAATAATTATGACATGATAGTTGGTATGCAGACAAGGTTGCAGGATGATCAAGACTGGGGACTCGATACTCAAATGTATTTGATGTTCTGCAAGAGTAGGCAAAAAGGAAAAGGAGGTAGGGAATATAATTCACTCAGAGATAATAAGAACTGCAGATGCTGGAGTCAGATAACACGGTGTGGAGCTGGAGGAACACAGCAGGCCAGGCAGCATCAGAGGAGCAGGAAAGTTGACGTTTTGGGTTGGGACCCTTAGGGTAGCTTTGTTATAAAGGTAGATGTCATTGTGATGATGAGTAAATATATTGATGTAATAGATCTGGATGCAGAATCAGTTTGTGTGGAAATAAGGAAGAGCAAGAGAACAAAGTCATGGATGGGAGTTATCTACAGGCCCCAAAGAAGTGCCTCATTGTGGGACAAAGTACATAGAACATAGAACATATATAGAAAAAGAACAGTAAAGAACTGTGCAGGACCTTTGGCCCACGATGTTATGCAGACCTATTATCCTACTCAGATCAATCTACCCTACATATTCTACATTTTACTATCCTCCATGTGCCAATCCAAGAGTCGCTTAAAAGTCTTTAAAGTATCTGACTGCACTACCACTGCTGGCAGCGCATTCCACACGCCCACCACTCTCTGTGTGATGAACCTACCTCTGACATCTCCCGTATACCTTCCTCCCATCACCTTAAAATTATGCCCCCTCGTAATAGTCATTTCCGCCCTGGGAAAAAGTCTCTGGGTATCCACTCTATCTATGCCTGTCATCATCTTGTACACTTGTATCAAGTCACCTCTCATCCATCTTCGCTCCAATGAAAAGAGCCCTAGCTCCCTCAACCTTTCCTCCTAAGACCTGCCCTCCAGTCCAGGCAACATCCTGGTAAATCTCCTCTGTATCCACTCTAAAGCTTCCACATCTTTCCCATAATGAGGTGACCAGAACTGAACACAATATTCCAAGTGTGGTCTAACCAGAGTTATGCTGCAGCATAACCTCATGGCTCTTAGACTCAGTTCCCCTGCCCATGAAAGCCAACACACCATACACCTTCTTTACAACCCTAACAACTTGGGTAGCGACTTTGAGAAATCTATGGACATGGACCCCAAGATCCCTCTGTTCCTCCAGACTACCGAGAATCCTGCCATTAACCCTGTATTCTGCATTCAAATTCGACCTTCCAAAATGAATCACTTCTCACTTTTCTGGGTTGAATTCCATCTGCCACTTCTTTGCCCAGCTCTGTATCCTGCCAATGTCCCATTGCAACCTACAACAACCCTCCACGCTGTCCACAACTAAACCAACCTTCGTGTCATCGGCAAACTTACTAATCCATCCTTCCACTTCCTCATTCAAGTCATTTATAAAGATCACAAAGAGCAGAGGTCCCAGAACAGATCCCTGCGGAGCACCACTGGTCACCGAGCTCCAGGCTGAATACTTTCCATCTACTAGTATAAATTAATAAATAATAGAGGTGTGTAAGAAGGGCACTACAAATGTCCAGGTCATTTTAATCTGTATATTTACTGGACACATAAGTTGGGAATGGCAGTGTAGAAGTCAAATTTGTAGACTGCGCCAGGGACTGTTTCTTAGAGCACTAAGGAAAAGTCAGAATATGAGCAGTTGCAGATGCTTAAGCAAATATTTCATTATGTTCAGCAAAAATGTATTCTGGTCAAAAATGTAAGGAGAAGCTGAATAGGCAGGGCTATTTT